ACTACACTTAACCTCTGCAATACAAAAGAGACGTTCATTATCGATCTATTTCAGACACTTGTATAGCTCACATTTGAAGCAAGGGAAAAAACAAAATAAAAAATTCTTTTCTGGAATAGTTTGAATATCAATGTGACATGATTCAACTTTTGTCACAAATGAGAAAATGTTTAAGATAAAATTAATATAAAGCGTCTTGTATGAAACACTTTTATTAAAATATGCCTCGAATTAAACACTACGAGACTGGATTCAAACATGTGAATAAGTGATGACATCGTCAACGTTTATTATTAAAAAATACAGATACATAGAATCTTAATCATTAAAAAATAAAGATGAACAAATTGTTTATTTTTCAGCATTAAAAGATTTATTTAGGGTGTCTGCTGTTATTCTCTAACAATGCATTTTTTTCTTCACTATCGTTTTTTTATTTTTAAGAAACAATAATGAATTAGCTTTCTTAACAAAGATTAATTGAAAGTGTTTCCATCACTTTTATTTCCATTCTGAAAAGTTTATTCTTTTTAATCAACTAAAGGTTAATAATATTTTTAATTCGTGCAAAATTTATTTCATCCGAAAACAATTATTTCTGTTAGTAAGAAAAAAAGAAGTAATTAAAGACATCTTTCCGACATGGTTAGTATTATTTTCCTTTTGCTTTTCGATTTTCACCTACTTCGAATGATATAAAACTGAACCATCACTATACTGTAGAGACAAAATCTAGATATGCATGTATTTTTAAGGTAGCTCTTTTCTTCTTGTGTCTCGAGAAAACGGATTTATATTTCAATATGTTGGGCAAATGTATCGCTATTGAAAACTTTACATGATTAATAAGCTTAAAAATGAAAAGACTTAATAGTTTAAACGCTGCAACAACTTCTTGTATGTTTAAGAAAAAAGAGCTGTGGTCCCCCTCAGGGATATTTGAAAAACTGAATTTTGAATTTCGACTTCAAACTTTGCATAGATATATGTCTCAATGAGAATAGTTTATTGTGAAAGTTTCAGCTCTTTTCGCTGTTTCTATCATAAAATACAGTTATCTTAAAATTGCTTCTAAACACCGACAGATACGATGTTCTTATCTTAGACTAGGAGCAACCAAAACATCTGAAACCTTCACAATAAACTATTCTCACTATGGCCTATCTATATGAAAAGATTCGGGTGGAAACTCAAAACTCACTTTTTCTGATGTTCCTGAGGAGATCCACGGCTTTTTCCAAAACACATAGTAAAAATGTTGTATCTCAGCAGCAAGAGGCTAGCGGCACGAACTCTTTCCAGAGAACTCATAGCTCATTATGGCTTAGTGTATGCACTGGTTCAGTGAATACTAATGTCGGTGTAGACACTGCAGTCAGTGCACTCAGTGTCAGTGTGTCACTGCAGACAGTGCGGTCACTGTCAGTGTTTCACTGCAGACAGTGCGACCACTGTCAGTGTGTCACTGCAGACAGTGCGGTCACTGTCAGTGTGTCATTGCAGACAGTGCTGCTCAGTGTCGGTGTGTCACTGTCAGTAATTCACTGTTTTCACCGAAACCGCACATCCCTAAGATTGCTGTATACGCATCGGGAAATAAAAGTTGTCAAATTAACTCAAAAGATACTGTATTCGTCTCAGTTTTTTGTGCTGAATCCAAGTCTGTAACTAATTTGTGATTTAAAGTTCTATTTGAATCCGAAAGCCGTTGAATATTGACTAGAATGGCTCTGGTTTCAGTAAAATCGAGTTTTCTCAATTCAGGAAAAGAAATAAAAAAACCGATATTAGGCATGGTCATGGATGGTATGATGAGTCAAATGAGATAAAAGGGTGTGGGTGTGGGTGTAAGTGTTGCTGATGTCTTATATTTCATGCCTTCACACCCACACCCACACCCTGTTATCAAATAGCAGACACCGATCAAAATTATGAATTCTAAATGATAAATTAAGCACAGTGATAAATAAAAGAAAAATAAATGTAAACGCAAATCTTGAACCACAACTAGATAAAAGTTGATGTTATCATATAGCAGCTATTGGTCGAAATTGGGAACTTTGATATTATTAGTGGACTCTTTCTCTGAAATAATACGCAATTATCTATTTTTTACGTGCTGTATTATAAATTTGTAAATGCTTATAAGTGATTGTGATTCGTGACATTTTTTCTTACAATAACCAACTTACTTTGTACCTTTCATTAATTTTTGTTTTTACAACTTTGTATTTCTCTGAACTTGTTCATGTATATGAATCTCAATTAAACTTCTAATTGAAATTCTGCGATTTCATTAAATATACGCATTTTATTCTATCAAGATATCTTCATACTAATTATTTGTAAATTTTGTGTTCCAATATAGTTTACAATTTAACTTAGGTCTTAATGCATAAATCTTGTATTTTTATCTCTTAATTCCTTTTAATACGTGCTTTTTATTGTAATGCAGAGCCCTGATGAGTGTTTTGTTATTAAAATAAATTACACTCTGCATTTCTATTTATAATTTGATTAAGCACATTATGCAGAGCTTGAAAATAAATACGACTTCATCGATTGCTGAAAAGTAAGAGTTGTGACTAGCAGATTGATTTGTATAAGAGAGATATAGTTCGGTCTGTTTTCTATCTTTTATTATTTCCAGTAATGCTATACTTATTATATTTTTTTCTTAGTTTCAATTTTTACTTCTTTCATATCCTGTATATAGACATATGTACTTATTTATCTTTTATTCTTGACGTGTTGACTAATTCGTTACATGTATATTAGATTTTTTATTCTTATGCCTATATTGAATACTGAAAGATGTGCATATGACAAAGTTCTATATCAGATAAGGCACGACATATTTCGGGGTATTTTGTTCCTTATGGAATAAGACAAAACTAAGATATTTTTATTCTTTAGAATATACTACTTGTGTTATCTTATTTTGCATTCCATCTTTAAGAAAATCAGATCGAAATAAGTGTTTTAAAAAATTAAATTAATCATTCAGGCATGAAAGAATTGTTTTTTTTTTCTCACAAAGCATGCTTGAGAAAATCATCTAAATTTTTATAGTGATACAAATACTGCAATCGTTTTTTTAAGATCTCTGGCTAATGTTTGATTTATTATCAGAATACTGAAAGCTGGATGAATACTATATAGTCGGTACACTCTGCAGTAATAATATCAACTTGGATTATTCTTTGATAGGAATCGTCATCTTCTTCTATCAGTGTCTAATACTACTATCTCTCGTCAATAAAATAGAAAGTAATTTCATCTAAGCAGTAAAAGTAGATGTTGATACGTATGGTCGTTTGCGTGAAGAACGGATACGATCGTATAAGATATACTTATCTAGAATATGATTCCACAAGATGTCGTGAGAGAATCTTCTTATGTACGATATTTATCGAGATAAGCGGGTTATCGTATGTTCGTATATAATATATTATAAAAAGTCAACAGCATACTCGACACATAAAAGAATCGGTCCATACATATTCATCTTAGTACTATTGAAGTATTAGTATCCAGGCAAGCTTCTCTACTGATGTAGTCTCACTCTATAAGATGTCTAATATTTATTGTCTCCAAATGAACCCCAACAGTAAGATACAATAGTAATAAAATTATTTATTCATCGATGAATTAGATTGAATGGCTGAAAAGAAAAACTCTACGACTAATTGGACAATGATAATTTTAATATTGTTAATAATAGCTGTAGTGCAAGCTATCTCGATTGGTAAAAATATTCTATGGATAAAATAAATTATATAAATTTTATCGATAGCGGAGACACATCATCTCTAGGTTATAATATATGGAAACAAATAGTGTTGAGTGATATAAATAGCGTTGAACTACTGAATTGAAAAAAAACATGGGCTTTAATTGCGTCATTTAGTCCATTCTTTTTGTTAATGCATACAATCTTCGTTATATTGAATTTTTCGAAACATTTTAAAGAAATATGCATAAGAACAACATATTTGTATGAAACACTTATAGATGTACTGAGTGTGGATGTGGGTGAGTATGGGTGTGGGTGGGGTGGGTGTGGGTGTTTGTCTTCACAGAATTCTGACACCCACACCTCACATCCATCCCACACCCACATCCACACCCCACACCCTATCTTTCATACTATTCGTCATGTAAGACTTATACTATTATCAGTTTTCAATTTGAACCAAAAATACTTGGTAAAACTAACATAAAATATCTCGATATATTTAATAATGAAGTGTTGCTAATATGTAACTATTAGGAATTGCAGTACCATCAATATTTCAAAAAGAAATTATTTATTCGAGTAGCTATTATTAATCATAGAACAATTAGAATTCAAACATATTCTAACCAAAGTAATTGAATACACTTATTCTTTTTTCTTTTCAATAACAATTAAATTAATGTCAATGAGAAACACAAAATTTAACTTTATGTTATAGCGTCTATTCTAAAACTTTAAAATTCATTTTCCCAAATTGGTAGAGAAATATATTTTCACTAACTTTATTTAAGTATCAACTGAATCTTGCAAATGTCCCTATGCTCACTATAAAATAAATATATGGAAGAAATATAAATTTTTATTGTATGACATATTAGGAAAAGGAGAAAAATAAATAACAACATTTATTCGCTAACAATTTGTTGGATTATAGAACAATTCATTATTGTTTGTATTGACGACATCGATCAAATAGAATAGATGAGTATATATGCATATAAATATTGACATTCATAAGTTGAAAAGAAGAATAGATCAATAAAAATAAACATGGAATATTCATGCACTGGATTAAATATTTTACCTGATGAAATTCTTATGATTATTTTTCAAAAATTGAATAATATTGACGTACTTTATTCTTTCTATGGTATCAATCAGCGACTAAATAAAATAATTCATGATCGAATTTTTTACAAGTCATTTGACTTTTGTCAAATGGTTATCAGATAATATTATCGATCTATTTTCTTCTAATATAATGCTTAAACGATTTTGTTTACAAATTTTACCTTCGATTCATGATAAAACTCAATGGCTTGATCTTGATTCATCATCTATAAAACATGTTTTACGTGTTGCCAATTATTCTAACTTAGATAGTCTTGGTCTTTATAATATTGATGAAGAGTCAGCTCAATGTCTTTTTACTGGTAAGAAATTTTAATTGAATTCTTTTTATTCTAAACAAATGAAAGATTTATCAAAGACTATATTATTGACATATATTGATTATATATGTTTAGGTGAAACTCTTTCGAGTATTTTCAAAAATCAAATAACAACACTTTTTATTACAATATATAATAATAATGATGATAATTATGAAGGAAAGATACTATCAATGACAAACACATATGATAAAATTTTCACTGTCTTCAATCGTCTGACTACTTTTGTATTATATGAATCATCTTATAAAAATCGTGTTCGAATAATTTTACTTTTTAGGGCGACTTACCAAATCTAAAGTGTTTTTCTCTTTCCTGTAAACTCGAAACATATGATTATAATGAAGCAATCCCTCCACTTCTCTATCGAATGTCAAATCTAGAAGAACTCGATTTATGTCTTACGGTGTATGTTGATAAAACATTTATTGATGGAAACCATTTAAAGACAAAAATTATTAAACACATACCACGATTAAATCAATTTACATTTTTTATTCAATCATTCATCTATGTTCGTAATGAAATGAGTTTTCCATCAACAGAAGATTTTCAACACACATTCATTGTCTTTCCAAATAATAAAATAATTTCTTATGTTGATAATTTTGCAGATGTAAAACGAAGTCAATGTCATATTTACTCATATCCATTTCTAATGCGATATTCTACCAGTATTACAAATAATTTTTCAGGTGGATTATTTGAATATGTTCGTTCGGTGTCATTATTTGATGAACATCCTTTTGAACATGAATTTTTTCTTCGAATTGTTCAATCATTTCCATTTATAGAAGGATTATCTTTGGCTAATCGTAAACCACAAAACGGAAAACAATCTTATAAATCAAACAGTGATAATCGAAATTTACCACTTATTGAATATTTTTTTCTTAATGAACTTTATATTAGCAATGTTCATGATGATTATATAGAACAATTTCTTTTTGATACCAAAACGTATTTGCAAAATAATGTTATTCTTTATGTCGATTATGAATCTTTACAACGAGTAACATAATTTCGCAAGAGATGCTACTCCAACTAAAGGTGCCAAAATAAGTAAATTACATTTATGCGGTCAAGGAAAACGTTCCAATTCTTTAGAAGAATATTTTCCTTATTCAAAAATATCTTATCCATTATATTGAAAGACAAAAAGAAATAAAGTATAAAATAAGAGAAAAATGTTTTTTGTTTTTTTTTTGTTATAAAAAAATAAAATTTCTATAGAGATGAAAATAATCATGTGTGATAAGTAGTAATCTGAGAAATAAATTCATTTTGTTTAAACATATCTATATGTATTATGTGTATTGCGTTGAAACATAAGTTCTGCAAATTTGTGTGCATCATCAAAGATAACTGTAACTTATTATATAAAAATTAAAATCAAGTACAGTCAAGCTAAGAATCTCTACGCAACAGGATTTGATAATATTGGATCGAAGAAGTCTTCCTTTATGAACCTACATTTATTCGCTTATCTGATTAAAAGGTTATAATCGCCTTTATTTTACGACCAAGGTATGTAATATCAATCAAGAATATAATCAAAATTATTTTCAACAGCATTCGCTCATCTTGTGGTGGGTGAGTGTGGGTGTGGGTATCGGTGTGTGGGTATGGGTGTGTGATGTGGGTAGGTGTAGGGTGTAAGTGGGTGTCGGATGCGAACACTGAATCCACACCCACACTCACATCCACACCACACCCACACCCACACCCTCACCCCACACCCACACACCCACCCCACGCCCACTCACACCCTACATCTACCCACATCGCACACCCACACACCGATACCCACACCCACGTATCGTACGATATGGATCTACAACCAACAATCAATTGTTATCTTTAGATTGTGTGTGGTTTTTATTGATGTTGGAATTTTTGTTTAGGAAAAAAATGGTGAAATTCACAAACTGTTGAAGAAAAATATCAAGATATAATGTTAGCAGATTTTCGGGCATTTTGTGATAATGAAAACAATCGTTTAGTTAATTTCTGAAACGAAGTCAATGAAATAGCAAATAAGAAAATGCTCGAAAAGGAACAAGATGCCTGTAATGAAGATTTGGTGAATAGGTCAAAGATCTAATCTATTTTTGCATATTTTTAAGTTTACTCGGTGTTGTATGACAGTGATTATTGTAGATTTTAAATTTCGTGATAGAAAAGAAGAGAAAGAGTTGTATGTAAGTTTAGCTAATAAATATAAATATATATATGTATATATGTATATGTATATACATGAATTCTTATCTATACAAAACAAAAAAGCAAAACATCTGAAAAATTGATTTCATAATTGCAAATGATGTACACTGTTCACTCGAGGATGTTTATATTGATCAAATAACAGCTTTTTCTTTTCGTTCATTTGTTTGATATGGCTGATATATGCACTTGTAAACGAACATCTTTATGGTTAAAATTTGAAATTCTCTGTGTATTTTCTAAGCATTTACTACGTTCACTAGATCATATTTGGTAATAATCAGTCATCCATGAAACTATCTGTTTAATTTATTAATCTTTCCTGAGTTTGTTCACGAAAAATTATTGTCACACGGCTCATCAATCAAATCAAGATATCACTATCTATAATGATTATTCTTTACAATTTCAATGAGGACAAACATGTACGCTCACTAAAACTAGAACTATTTCGAGTGATCATATATATCATTCAAAATATGTCCATAAATCATGCTATCAACCCGTTTAATAAGTTAAAATAAGTTGTGTACGATCTTAGAATTTATAAATATAAAACTTGCTAATTTTTCGATGATTCGAACAATTGATAGATTTATGTCATTAGTAGTACTTCAATAAATCCTTTACACCTGGCAAAACCCATTGATACACTAACTTATGAAGTTTATGTTTCAATGAAAATACACAATATATTAATCTCATCGATGGCAAACGATTAAAGTAGAAAACATCTTATTCTGTGTCGCAAATTTTTGTCTATCTCGTCCTGTTTCAACATTGTTTATGTCTATGAACGTAACGGGTTTATATGTGTTTGTTGCCACGTGCTATGAATTACAGTGAAGGACTCTTTTTGCGTTCTTTCTTGACGATAAATTACACTGAAAACTTCTGTAGCATGGCGTAAAGTGAAAAATACAAATGTTGACGACGTTCTCTTTCTTGACGTAGGCAAGCATGGTGAGCGATGTTTTTTGTGTCTTACAAGAAAAAATCGTAATTTTTCTTACTCATAGCGTAAAATCTTCAAAAAATATGCAGTTGATTGTTTCAACTAATGATGCATCATCATATACATACAATTTGTGATTATATATACATTCCTATTCAAAACTTGAAGAGATAAATTTATTCAATAACGATCGTAAAGAAAACAAAAGACATCTCTTCGTCTTTGTAATTTCATTCAACAATTCATATGTGCGTTAACTACAACTATAGTCATCGTTATAAGAGTTCATCGACTTTTATATTAAATTTTTTATATGTTTCTAGACAATATGGATGAAGACTCTCTTCCAGATACTACTGATCCTGTAGAAAATATTCCTGAGATAGCTCCCAATGAAGTCGAAACATTGGCATATCAACATTTAATAGATCGATTAGAGGAAATTGAAAATTTACCAACAACAGACGCTCAAATGAAGAGAGATCAAAGATCTCAATTTGTTGCTGTATGGAGCGAAATCCTTCAAATTCCTCCATCGGATGCTCCATCTTGTTATCAGAAATGTGCTAGTCTTCTGTCACGTTTATTCAAACAAAACCAAATTCATATCATACGAGCAAATACGAAAATTGCTCGTGAGATGTGTTTTGCATGCATATCTCAACTCACTCATTCAAATATAAGTCGTTTTCTGAAGTTAAAAACAGAACAACAGAATTTACCTGACAATCGAATATTAAAAAAGCATATTTTCCATCTGCTACGAATCGCAGCACAAACAATTACACTTATTCCATTTTCAAAGGTGGACGATCGACAATTCATTGAAAACCACTTTGAACTTTATACTGTGTTGATTGAACATATCGAACAATCCATGCCTGAACATGGTGAAACAAAAGTAGAACAAGGGTATATCCTAGGAGATATTGCTTTACGTGCCATTAGTCTATTATGGAACACAACCGATCGAACTGTTCTCGTTCCACTTTTTTTGAGAAATGATTTTGTCAAGAAATTACTCGGTTGGCTTGCACAAGCATCTAAATTAGCAGACACCAATAATCGACCTCTAATCAGTATTGTTCTCAATATTGCTCGGCATGACGATGGAGCTGATGAACTCAACAAATATGGAGCCATAGACATTATCAAAGAGTATATGAAAATGTAAGTTGACATGTGAAATATATCTATAGTTTCAATTCTTGTATTCGTTTTCTAGTAAACCAGCAAAGCCGGATAATCGAAGTTTGGCTACATCGATGACATTGGCTCTTCTTTCCACACCGGAAGAACTCAAACGTGACACGAAAGGCATGAACAATGTACTCAATCGTTTGCTTCAACTTGTTATTGATTGTTCCAAAAATAATCGTTTTCGACATGAAGGTTTTCATGTTAGCGAACCATTAGTTATCTTAGTGAAGATGTTCGTTGTTGACGAACGTACACTTGAGTACGTCTTATGTCATGCAGAAACAAAGCCACCATCCGATCCTCACTCAACAATTCGTTTATTCATCACATTGCTCTTCAAATTTACGAATGCATTGGATGTCACAAATCAAACAAGACAATACACACTAATAAGTCTATTAAATATTATTTGGAGCATATCATTTCAATCGAATTATGCAAGTGAATTAACTCAAGACGAACAATTAATGTCAATTATCGAAAAATTTGCCGCCGATGATAAGGGTGAAGAAGTTCTCGAAGATTACAAGCCAAGATCAATGGAAGGCGTTAAAGAAGCAGCACATGGTATTCTACACAATCTCAATCGTGATGTTAAAACTGATATGATATTAGAGAAAAAGAAAGCATATCGTGATGCACATATATCAGATTCGACAACAAAGTGAGACCATCAATTGAATGAAAAGTCAGATATATTGAACTTTCTTGTTTCTAGAATACAACAAAAACCATCAATTATGGTTAGTTATTGTCATGAAAATAATGACTTTTGTACACATGTATTAGAAGTACTAAAGAAACACAATAATGTCTTTAACATATGGATCGATCGAACACATTGTCAAGGAGCCGATGATTTATGGGAATCAATTGCTGACGGTATGGAACAAGCATCAGTCATAGTATGTCTTATTTCGAATCAATATTTCGAAAGTAAATCATGCCGGAAAGAATTCATTTATGCTACGGATTCACTGAAGAAAAAACTTGTACCTATATTAATTGAACAGTTCGAACCAAGGGGATGGTTAGGTTAGTTCGATAAGCAAACCGTTTCATGATATTCAATTTGTATTTCGTTTATTGAAGGTATTCGAATGACAGGTGTCAAATATATACGTTTCCGAGGAGCGTTTGGATCGGAACAAAATAAAATAATAGAATTATCAAATACAATTCTTGCAACGTTGTCACCACAAACATTACATGACCATGATAGTTATCCTTTACATTCATCACATCATGTAGTGTCACTACCGTCGCAGCCATCATCACCACCACAACAACAACAGCAACACCAACAACATTTATCTAGTACTAATTCCATACAGCAAATTTCAATAGTCACTCTTCGTCCATTCAATCAATGGACATCCACTGGAGATGATATTAATCAGTGGTTTGCATATCATCGACTATCGAATAAATTGCGAGATTTATATGACTTTCAAACTGGTGAAGAAATGCGTGAATATGCTAAAATATTGGTAAAAGATCGTGAAAAGCAAATACACATTTATGAAAGATTATTTTCTAAGAAATACAATGGTGAGGAATTGCCGCCACACGAATTTAATCGATTCACATTGGCTTTAGAGAAGCTACTAAGAGAGAATCTTCCGCCTACAACTACAACAAAT